TTTTCAGTATGTTTGGGCTGATATTGAGGTCTTTAATCCATTTGGATTTGAGTTTTGTGCACGGTGATAGATATGGGTCTATTTTCATTCTTCTACAAGTTGACATCCAGTTGTGCCAGCACCATTTGTTGAAGATGCTTTCTATCTTCCATTGTATACTTTTAGCTCCTTTATCAAAAATGAGGTGTTCATAGGTTTGTGGGTAAAATCTGGGTCTTCTATACGATTCCATTGGTCGACTTCTCTGTTTTTATGCCAGTACCACACTGTTTTCATTACTGTAGCTCTGTAATAGAGTTTGAAGTCAGGGATGGTAATGCCTCCAGAAGATCCTTTATTGTATAGGATTGTTTTGGCTATCCTGGGTTTTTTGTTTTTCCATATAAAGTTGATTAATGTCCTCTCCAGATCTGTGAAGAATTTTGATGGGACCTTGATGGGGATTGCATTGAATCTATAAATTGCCTTTGGTAGAATTGCCATTTTTACTATGTTGATCCTCCCAATGCAAGAGCAAGGGAGGTCCATCCATTTTTTAGTATCCTCTTCATTTTCTTTCTTCAATGCCTTAAAGTTCTTGTCAAATAGATCTTTCACTTCCTTGGTTAGATTTACCCCAAGATATTTTATGCTGTTTGTGGCTATCGTGAATGGTGAAGCTTCTCTGATTTCCCTCTCTGCTTCCATATCCTTTGTGTATAAGAGGGCGACTGATTTTTTTGGAGTTGATCTTGTATCCTGCCACATTACTAAAGCTGTTTATCAGCTGTAAAAGTTCTTTGGTGGAGTTTTGTGGGTCGCTTAAGTACACTATCATATCATCTGCAAATAACGAAAGTTTAACTTCTTCCTTTCCAATTCGAATCCCCTTGATCCCATTATGTTGTCTTATTGCTATTGCTAGAACTTCAAGCACTATATTGAAGAGGTACGGAGAGAGTGGACAGCCTTGTCGTGTTCCTGAGTTAAGCGGGATGGCTTTGAGTTTCTCTCCATTTAATTTGATGTTAGCTGTCGGCTTGCTGTATATAGCTTTTATTATATTTAGGTATGACCCTTGTATCCCTAATCTCTCCAAGATTTTTAACATAAATGGATGTTGAAATTTGTCAAATGCTTTTTCAGCATCTAATGAAATGATCGTATGTTTTTTTTTTCTTTCAGTTTATTTATATGCTGGATTACATTGATAGATTTTCGTATGTGGAACCAGCCCTGCATCTCAGGAATGAAGCCTACTTGATCATAATGGATAATTTTTCGGATGTTTTCTTGTATTCGGTTTGCCAGTATTTTGTTGAGGATTTTTGCGTCGATGTTCATGAGTGATATTGGCCTGTAATTCTCTTTCCTGGTTGAGTCTTTGTGTGGTTTTGGTATCAGAGTAACTGTAGCTTCATAAAAGGAATTAGGTAATGCCCCTTCTGTTTCTTTATTGTATAATACATTAAGGAGTATAGGTATTAGTTCTTCTTGGAAGTTCTGGTAGAATTCCGCATTGAAACCATCTGGTCCTGGGCTTTTTTTGGTAGGGAGGTTTTTGATAACAGCTTCTAATTCTTCGCGACCTACAGGTCTGTTTAGATTGTTCACCTGGTCCTGGTGTAACTTTGGTATATGGTATTTATCTAAAAAAGTGTGCATTTCTTTTACATTTTCTAGTTTTGTGTTATACAGGCTTTTGTAATAAGATCTAATGATTCTCTGAATTTCCTCTGTGTCTGTGGTTATGTCCCCCTTTTCATTTCTGATCTTATTAATTTGCGTATTCTCTCTCTGCTGTTTGATTTGTTTGCATAGGGGTTTATCAATCTTGTTGATTTTCTCCAGGAACTAGCTTTTTGTTTCATTGATTCTTTGGATTGTTTTCTGTGTTTCTATTTTGTTGATTTCAGCCCTCAGTTTGATTATTTCCAGTCTTCTACTCCTCCTAGGTGAGTCTGCTTCTTTTTTTCTAGAGCTTTCAGGTGGGCTGTTAAGTCTCCAATATGTGCTTTCTCTGTTTTCTTTAAGTGGGCACTTAGTGCGATGAACTTTCCTCTCAGGACTGCTTTCATAGTGTCCCATAAGTTCTAGTATGTTGTTTCTTTATTTTCATTGAATTCATGGAAGACTTTAATTTCTTAATTTCTTCCTTAATCCAGGTATGGTTCAGTAGTTGACTGTTCAGTTTCCATGAGTTTGTAGGCTTTCTGGGGGTAGCATTGTTGTTGAATTCTAACTTTAATCCATGGTGATCTGATAAGACACTTTGGTTACTAATATTTTTTTGTAACTGTGTATGTTTGCTTTGCTACCGAGTATGTGGTCAATTTTCAAGAAGGTTCCATGAGCTGCAGAGAAGAAGGTATATTCTCTCCTATTTGGGTGGAATAATCTATAGATGTCTGTTAAGTCCATTTGCTTCATTACCTCCATTAATTCTCTAATTTCTCTGTTAGGTTTCTGTTTGATTGACCTGTCCATTGGTGAGAGAGGAGTGTTGAAGTCTCCTACTATTAGTGTGTGTGGTTCGATGACTGCCTTGAGTTTTAGTAATGTTTCTTTTACATACATGGGCACTTTTATATTAGGGGTGTAGATATGCAGGATTGAGACTTCATCCTGATGAATTGTTCCTGTTATGAGTATAAAATGTCCCTCTCCATCTCTTCTGATTGATTTAAGTTTGAAGTCAACTTTGTTAGAAATTAGTATGGCCACACCTGCTTGTTTCTTAGGTCCATTTGCTTGATAAGCCTTTTCCCAGCCCTTTACTCTGAGTAGGTGCCTGTCTTTGTGGTTGAGGTGTGTTTCTTGTAAACAGAAGAATGTTGGATCCTGTTTTCGTATCCAATCTCTTAGCCTGTGCCTTTTTATAGGTGAGTTGAGTCCATTGACATTAAGTGATATTAATGACCAGTGGTTGTTAACTCCGGTCACTTTTTTAGTTGTATGGTTTGTGTGTTTCCCTTCTTTTTGTTGCGCTGGTGAAGGATCTCTAGATGACTGAGTTATTGTGGGCATTGCTGGACTCCTTGGTTAGTGATTTTCCTTCTATTATTTTCTGTAAGGCTGGATTTGTGGCTATGTATTATTTAAATTTGTTTTTATCCTGGAAAATTTTGTTTTTTCCATTTATAGTGAATGAAAGCCTGGCTGGATACAGTAGTCTGGGCTTGCATCTATGATATCTTAGTTTTTGCAGTACGTCTATCCAGGACCTTCTGGCTTTCATTGTTTCCATAGAGAAGTCAGGTGTAAGTCTGATAGGTTTACCTTTATAAGTAACTTGGTCTTTTTCCTTTGCGGCTCTTAATATTCTTTCTTTATTCTGTATATTTTGTGTTTTGATTATTATATGTCGAGGGGATGTTCTTTTTTTGATCCAGCCTATTTGGTGTTCTGTATGCTTCTTGAACCTTCATAGGTACATCTTTCTTCAGGTTGGGAAAGTTTTCTTCTATAATTTTATTAAGTATATATTCTGGACCGTTGAGCTGCCCTTCTTCTCCTTCTTCTACTCCAATTATTCTTAGGTTTTGTCTCTTTATTGTGTCCCAGATTTCCTGAATGTTTTGTGATGAGAATTTGTTGGTTTTGCTGATTTCTTTGATCAGTGTGTTTATTTTCTCTATGGTATCTTCAGTGTCTGACATTGTTTCTTCTATATCTTGTATTTTGTTGTTAGTACTTGTCTCTGTGGTTCCTGTTCGTTTACCCAGATTTTCCATCTCCATTCTTCCCTCGGTTTGTGCTTTCTTCATTGCTTCCATTTCATTCTTTAAGTCTTGAACCGCTTCCCTAACCTGTTTGATTGCTTTTTCTTGTTTCTCTTGGTTTTCTTGTGTGTCTTTGAGCGATTTATTCATTTCCTCTACCTTTTTGTTTGTAATCTCTAATTGTTTATGGCAGTTTTTCACCTCCTGTTTAAGGTCCTCTATTATTTTCATATAGCTCACTTTTGAGTCGATTTCTTCTATTTCTTCTGGAGTTGGGTGTACAATTCTTCTTATTTCGGGATCCCTGGATTCTGGTGGTGTCATGTTGCCTTTCAGGTTGTTGGAGGAATTCTTGCATTGGCGCCTTCCCATGTCTTCCTTCAAATGGAGCCTGGAGAGGCCTGGTGTCTTGGTCCAGTCTTTGCTGTGATTGACTCTCTGGGTATATCTCTTCAGTGTAGAAGCAGGAACCGTTCCCGTCCAGATGGGATTCCTCAGCAACTAAACAGGGCCGCTGGTAGCCCAATGCTCCAGGGCCAAAAGGATGAATGGGGAAGGGGGGGGGCGGTATCCAGGTTCGCACAGGAAGCCTGGCGCTGGAGCTGAAGGTGCCCGGCTTCACCGCTCTGCGTGGGTAGCCTTAGTGTAGGAGCTTAAAACTGTTCTTGAGCGCTGGTCCTAGCATACAGCCGGGCAGTGTTGGGGAGGAGTGCTGGGGTGTCGGTCGTGCGAAAGAAAGACAGCCCTGCAGAAGGAGCTGGGGGAGGGGCGTTTGTGCTCTCTTCTGGGACAGTCCGCCCCTGGATAGCACACACTCACCCGTTCAGATGGGATTCCTCAGCAACTAAACAGGTAGCCTGTGTCTTTTTAAAATTTTTTTTATCATTTTTATTGATTTTTACTGAGCTCCACATTTTTCTCTGCTCCCCTCCCTGTCTCTCCTGTACCCCCTTCAACCCTCACCCAAGGTCCCCATGCTCCTAATTTACTCATGAGATCTTGTCTTTTTCTACTTCCAATGTAGATTAGATCTGTGTAAGTCTCTCTTAGTGTCCACATTGTTGTCTACTTTCTCTGTGATTGTGGTTGGTAGGATGGCTTTCTTTGCTTTAGGTTTAAAAATACCTCTCAGTGAGTACATGTGATAATTGTTTTTCTCTGTCTGGGTTACCTCACTCAAAATAATGTTTTCTAAACCATCTATTTTCCTCCAAAATTCAAGAAGTCATTATTTTTCCTGCTGTGTAATACTCCATTGTGTAAATATACCACATTTTCCTTATCCATTCTTCGGTTGAGGGGCATTTAGGTTGTTTTCAGGTTCTGGCTATGACAAACAATGGTGTAAAAGGTCCTTCTGTTTATGTGTTTCTTTCTTTTCTTTACTTTTTTTCTTTTTGCCTGTGTCTTTTGATATGTGAATTGACTCCATGTAGTAGGAGGATGCCTATTCATATCCCAGCTGCCCAGACCCAAAATAATCACACAGAAACTATATTAATTACCACACTACTTGGCCAATGATTCAGGCATATTACTAGCTAACTTTTATATTGTAAACTAACCCATGTTTATTAACATATATATTGGCATATGGTTGTGGCTTACTGTTAAGGATCTTGCATCTGTCTCCTTTGGCAGCTACATGGCATCTCCCTGACTCTGCCTACTTTCTCTCTCTATCTCTCTCATCCTGCGTATATTCTGCCCCTCTACAAGCCAAAGCAGTTTCTTTATTAACCAATGGTAATTATACATATTCACAGCATACAGATGGGAATCCCACATCATTTCTCCTTTTCTGTCTAAATAAAAAGGAATGTTTTAACTTTAGCTTATGAAAATTACATATAAAAACAGCTCAAGCAAGAATTATGGCCACAATATTCTGTCCTTTTACATTTGGGAAATCAAGGAAAATATTTTCTATCCTATCTTTGTGAATTTAAATTCATTTATTTTTATCATAACTAAGGAATACTATGACTTTTGTCTTCAACTCCATCAAAGACTTCAGAAGGATATATTACCTAAGTAGAGACGAAGTGCATTATAACCAACTTCCAAAGCTTTAGAATTGACAGACATCTTGCTGCCTGTACAGTCACCCAAAGTTCTTCTGTAATTTGGGGGCATCCATCTTCAGACTTCAGGCCATAATATCTGGCTAAATTTTCCATGAAACAGAAAATTTGAAGATGTTTTGCCCTGTTATGACAAAGTTCATTAGATGCTTTTTTCTGTGTCCTGCAAAATGTTTGGTAGGCCTTTCATGTAGAAGAATCTTGAAGGATTGTCTCATCTTTAGGCAAGTTCAATAGTCATTTTTCTGTGTATCCTGCATGTCCAGTTCACATAGCATACCATCAAGCAGTCCAGGCAAGAACATTTTCTTGTCCAAATGGCTAAAAAACTCCATAAGGAGCCTCTTTGATGTCCATCATCCTCTTGAAGTAGATTAGAGATGCCAGAAGCAGATGTGTCTCATTGTCATATAAAGTCATACGTTCTTAAAACATTGTAAATTCCATATTCTGTACATCTTTGAAAGGTTTGAAGAATACCTATCCACCTTAAATATATCTCTGTGCACCTATAAAACTTAACTTGATTAAACACTTGACTATTATAGATGACTATCTACCAACCTGTATTTCTTAATTATAAAGTATATTTTAAAATGAGCTGTACAAACACAATTAATCAAGGGCACACCCTTGGGGATTTCTAAGCTGAATATGAGCATGCACACTTTCTCTTGCTCATAGGTCATCTTTTTGAAGCTCTGTAGACTCTTAATATTTGTATGGATGGATTTATACATAAAATTAAGCTTAATATGTCTTACTATCTTTCGAGACAGGGTTTCTTTGTTTAAGTAAGTCCTAGATTTCATGAAACTTGCTTTGTAGACAAGGCTGACCTTGAACTCATAGAGATCTGCCTGCCTCTGCCTCCCAAGTGCTGGATTAAAGAAGAGTATATGCCATCACTGCCTGGCTGAATATGTTTTTATTCAAGTATTTTCTTGAGTTTTATTTAATGCTGAATTTTCTGATATGTCTACAATATTAGCATCATGTAAAGAATTTAAGAAAAGGAATTTGATTCATTTGTTTAGGCTTGTAGAGTAGTATTTCTAAGGTACAACAGGACACAAGGCTAGCACAATGGTGTTCATTATTTACCCACGGACAGCAGTGCTCTGAGGGTCACTGGAGCTTGACAGAATCATGGAATCTAAGCATGATTTCAGAGTCATGCACAGACACAGCCCTGTTTGGATGATGTCTGTCAATAACACAGGTTTGTACATATATTTTCATGTGTCCCACTGCTGATCTCTCACTCTCTTCCATGAATGCAAGGGAGAATGGCCTTCTTTCTTAGCCTCCCTAATCTACATTCTGTCTGTGTTGAGCCCTTTCAATGGAACCATGTACTATCATAGTAGTAAGCCTGAAGCTTACTACTTGAGTAGTAAGCTTTCCTTCTTCAGTAGACTCAAATACTTTCTCTTTAACATTAATTTTCTGGTGTACAAGTTTGGAGGAACAATTAATACATTCAGCAAATGTTGTATGAGAGACTTTTCCTGAGGAGAGACAAATTCATATGCACCCAATAAGTCAAAATGGGAACTGACCACAGAACCAAGTGTGCTTTCAACTGAAATCCATCTTGTTAAACCAATGGATTTTATTGGGTTATTTACTTATATAAATACAGAACTGGAGTTGGTTACAAGAGTGAAGTTTACTCAAAGATAGTTGCCATCACAAAACTCCAAGGCAGCATGAAATACAGCTTTTGAAAGCTGGATACCCACAGCATACTACACAACTACATGCATATCTACATGTTAAAGGGCACCGTATCTTACTGGCTCAACTCATCAAACCCTCTTCGAAGCAGCAAGACTGATACAAGTTTCTTCAATGGAATTAAGCATAGTGAACCTTGTCAGTTTCAGAAACTTCTTGAATCAATTATGAATGGTTTATTTCCTCTGGATGGAATGCTTCAGTCTCCAGATACAACAGCACATTCTACAGACTTCCCCATTTTGTCTTCAGTATGAAGCATTTGTGGTTGAAAAAGTAAAATGTTTTTAAAAAAAGTTTCCTATAATGTGACATATTCAGAATTTTTCCTCAATATAAAGTCTTGATTTTTTTTCTAAGATTTTGAACATGACTTAAAAGCTTCCACAAGTTTCTCATGTTCATACTGATTCTCTTTTGTGGACCCTGCATTGGTCCATAAGGACAGAGCTTGAATAAATTATAAGCCATATTATTTAATATGGAAACATTGGATTCCAGTTTGAATTTTCTTATGTTTTCTTAAGGGTGGGTAAAGACTTTGCTATATACACTGCACTTATAAGGTTCTCTCTTGTATGACTTCCTTGATGAGTTCTAAGCCTGGCTTCCTGGATAAAGGATTAGTCACATTCAATGCACTGGTAAGGTTTCTTCTAGTATGAATTTTCTCATGTTTTCTAAGAACTGAGCCAATGGCAAAGGATTTCTCACATTTACTACATTTGTAAGGTTTCTCTCCTGTATGAATTCTTTGATGAGTTATAAGATTGCCTTTCTGGTTGAAGCTCTTGTCACATTCACTGCAGTTGTAAGGTTTCTCTCCTGTATGAATTTTCTGATGTATTCTAAGTTTGGCTTTCTGGATAAAGTATTTGTCACATTCGTTACATTTGTAAGGTTTCTCTCCAGTATGAATTTTCTGATGTATTCTAAGATATGAGTCAGTGTTAAAGGACTTCCCACATTCACTACAATGGTAAGGTTTCTCTCCTGTATGAATTCTCTGATGTCTTCTAAGGTTGGTTTTCTGGACAAAATATTTGTCACATTCATTGCACTTGTAAGGTCTCTCTCCTGTATGAATTCTCTGATGCCTTCTAAGACCTGAGCCAGTGGTAAAGGATTTTCCACATTCACATTTGTAAGGTTTCTCTCCTGTATGGACTTTCTGATGAGTTCTAAGATCAGCTTTCCAGATAAAGGATTTCCCACATTCACTGCATTTGTGAGGTTTCTCTCCAGTATGAATTTTCTGATGATTTCTAAGATCTGAGACAATTGTGAAGGATTTCCCACATTCATTACACTTATAAGGTTTCTCTCCAGTATGAACTGTTTGATGTCTTCTAAGACCAGAGCCAACGGTAAAGGATTTCTCACATTCACTACATTTGAAAGGTTTCTTTCCTGTATGAATTACCTGATGTGTTCTAAGGTTGACTTTCTGGATAAAGCATTTGTCGCATTCATTGCATTTGTAAGGTTTCTCTCCTGTATGAATTCTTTGATGTAGTCTAAGAGATGTGCGGAAGGTAAAGGATTTGCCACATTCATTGCATTTGTAAATTTTCTCTCCTGTATGAATTCTCTGATGTTTTCTAAGACCTGAGGAGGTAGAAAGGGATTTGCCACATTCATTGCATCTGTAAAGTTTCTCTCCACTATGGGTTCTGCAATGGTATTCAAGGTGTGACAAAGTATAGAAGGACTTACCACATTGTTTACATTTATAAGGCCTCTCTCTTCCACGAATTTTCTGATGTTTTCTAAGACCAGAGCAACAGATAAAGGATTTTCTACAATTTTTACATTTGTAAGTCTCCTCTTCAGTGTGGATTCTGCAACGTCTTTTAAAGCCTGATGAATTATAAAAGCACTTGCCACACTCTGTACATTTGCGGGGTTTTCCTCCATGATAGATATTGTAATGTACCTTGTGGTGTGACAAATTCAGAAAGGACTTATCACATTCTATAAATTTATAGGGTTTCTCTCCAGGATGAGTTCTCTGATGTTTACTGAGTCTCAAATAGGTCCGGAAGCACTTTCCACATTTCCTGCATTGATATGCTTTCTCTCCATTATGGATTTGTTCAATTGTGTGTTCATGTTTAGAGTCAAGAAATTCATCACATTCTGTATTTTTGTGTTCTTTCTTTCTAGTGTGGATCCGTTGATATTGACTGATTGTGGAACACAAGCTTAAACACTTCCCGTAATCTTTATATTTGTATTGCTCTTTTACGGTGCTTCCACTTTCATGTCTCTTTAGGTTTGATAACTCAGTAGAAGTATCCCTGTGGCTACCATTTTCATAATTCTTGCAGCTTTGTATAGTATCACTTGTGTCAGAAGTTTTACATTGGGAGGATTTATGAACCATTTTGCCAGGCTCATACCATTTGTGAGACTTCTCTTGTATATACATATGCTGATGAACAACATGCTTTGGGTCTTGATCCAAGACATTCTCATATTTACCACATATACAATGGTTCTCTGGAAAATTAGCACAATTAGGGATAATAAGGACTTATGCTTGGTTAAACAGATCCAGTAACTGATGCATCCTTAAGTTCTTTAAGACAAATAAATTAGCAAATCTTAGGAACAGAACTCTTACTCGAGGCTCAGAAGGATCATTACTCTCATCTCCAACCAAACCACAAGGACCACATTTGTATCTAATCTTCATACTTTGCAGAAGGTTGAACAAATAGGCAATGGAGCAATAATGTACTTTGAGAAAGGCACTCTTAATGATCATATGGAGAGTGCTTCTCTTTTTTCCTTGCTTATATTTTTGAGAGAGTCACACCGTGTAGCCTTCATTAGCCGGGAACTCACCGTGTAACACAGGCTGGTCTGGAACTCACCTCCCTAGTGACAGGATTAAAATCATGCTGTGCAGGGACTAGAGACCATATCTCAGAAAAAGTAAAAAAATAACAACAATATGCACACTACTAACATTTCTTTCTCTATTTTAAAGTCACTTCATCTTTTAAAAATTAGAAATAGGTAAATAGCTTAATCCAACAGTAAAAATAAATGCATGTCCTTACTTTGAATGCCAAATTTCTTTGAAATTCTTTGAAATTCCAATATTCAATCCTTAAGTTAGGATTAAAAACTAAATAAGGGGGTTAGTGAGATTGCACAGTATATAGCATTGGGTGCTCTAGTAGGGAACACTGAAAACATAATGTTATGGCTATTATTATCAGAATTTCCCTTATTTCTGCCACTCTCTAGATAGAGAGTTTACATACCTACAATGTAGATAAATACAAAGGAAAAGTCAGAAATTCTACAAGAAAAGTATTCTTACCTACAAAAACTAGATTGCTATAATTCTCCCGCATTACATCCATGTAGAGAGCCCTCTGAGAAGAATCTAGACAATCCCATTCCTCCTGAGAGAAGTCCACAGCCACATTTCTGAATGTCAACAGATCCTGTAACGGGAAGTTACCCAATTACCATGTGCTTGTGGGAAAAATGTTTTCCTAAGTAAATTAGATACAGGGAATTAGAGATACCTCCATGATATAGATGAAGAAAAATATTATTCAAAAACAAAAGTTTTCTAACAATGCCACAGAGATGGTTCAGAAGTGGCTTATCTGGAGAACCCAGGTTTGGTTCCCAGCACACACAAAGCACTATTTAATAGATTATAACTCTAATTCAAACAGATCCAATAATGTCCTCTGAACTCTACAGGAGAGAAAACAAATACTGTGCATGTAAATATTCTGGTAAATATATCCACATATATAAAATAAAAGTGAAGGTTAATTTTAATAGACTATTCATAATTTATATTGTATTTTCTGTCTTTATGAGAACTGGATAGCATAATAGACTCACAATCAGCAAACTGTGAGGCATTGTAAAATGCACCTTTGAGGTCTAAGTGCAGGATGTACCTTTATGAATGTTATATGGATATCAAAAAGGATCACATTGCTGCATTATATATGAAAACATATGAGCAAAACTGCTTCCAAATTCTACAACCGCCGATTTTGTTCAAATATCGACACTGTATCAATCCTGTCTGCAGATGGGCTTCACCTGACTCTCTTCTAACATGCTCAGTTGAAATCCTGAAGTCTAGATACAATGCTGCATCCTTGTTAGAGCAAAGAGGCAGAATATGGAATGCTGAATACATGGATGGATTAAAAGTCAGAGTGTTTTCTTTAAACAGTAAAAAGGGTAGCATTAGTGTAGACATCCAACATTCTAAACAACACATTGACTCAAATACTTTGTGCAGTTATTGTAATTAGAACATCTTCATAACCATTATGTAAATAGAAAAATTAGCATTAACATTATTAACTACATTTTCTAAAAGTCAATAAAACTAATACTGATGAATTATAATTTCATAAATTCCATACAAGGGTACACTACACAATAGTTTGAAAAAAATGTGTAAATTCATGTACAATGTGACAATGCATTCAGATGAAGTAGATTTTCTGTGATCAACATGATTACTTTAAGTTGTGTGAGAATGATGCTAACTCTTCATCAGTTTTGAAAAATATTATTGCTCATGACATTGTCTCAATTGAAAATTTGAATCTTGTAAATTCAACTATTTTTCTTTTCTTTCTTTTTTTTTTTAAATGTAAGAAGTGGAAACCTGTCCATTGAAACCTCTTTACAGAATCTCTGCCTATGTAATACATAGCTTCAGGGAATGGAAACGTAAAAGGGGAGGGGAAGAGCCTTCCTTTGCCCAAAGAAGAGAGCAAAGTCATTAAGAAGGACATTTGTTAATGTTTGAAAATTGATGGCTTGTGACCAGCACCCAGTCAATAACTCTGGAAAATTCTTATTAATATATTCCCCATGATGCAATATAGAGGTGGGAGCAGGACTGCTTACACCTTGCCTGAAAACTAAAAGACAAAACACCGATCTGTCTATTGAGAACTTCACACTGAGCAGCACCTCTCCTGAGACAAGAAAAATTTCAGGTGTCACCACACCCATCATCACTGTGTGATAGCAAATAGCAAAGAAGAAAAATCTACTATACTGCAATCCGTATCCCCTCTCAGACGCGTCAGTGTTCCAGCAAGAACAAGCCATATATTGTTTCCATCATCTCCACTCTCTACAGTGGTGCAACAATTACTACTAGGACTCAATACTCTGAGTCTCTTTATTTCTACTTTTTCCTTAATAGCTCAGAGATGTAAGCCAAAAGGTCCATGTATTTCTAGGGCTACTTTCATAAGATGGTTCTAGAAATCTTATTATCCCTGCAATGCAAATCCCGTGGCACATGAGACCTTCATTCCTCACTAAAGGACCCAAGTCCATCCTCTGTAGGAACTTGGCATCAATATATTTCTCTGATCATCATTCATAACAAATCTTTCAGAATTGTAGCTTTTAAGTGCATGGAAAATATATGTCTTCACAGGAATAATCAAGGGAGGACACAAAGGAACAGAGCTGAGCAATGTGGTGACAAAATTTAAAGGTTTAATCTTACTTATCAGAGAAGAAAAAGAAAAACATGATAGAAAACAAACACTTTAGATTGCTTTACTAGAGGTAGGGAATTAAAGACTTGCATGGTTTAGATAATATTTTTTATTAAAGTAATGTGGACATGATACTGACCTGTGGAGCATTTATTGGAGAAGCAGCCATTTGCCCTGTTGCTCTTCTCTGAGTTTCTGTCTTAAGACCAAAGACTGGAACTCTTCTTGACATTTTACATCAAGATCTCAAAAAAAAAAAAGCTAAAATTAATATAGCCCTGCTACAGATAATGCTAAACCATATAACAAAACCTCCAAACAAAAATAATAGCAGCAATATTGTCGACGTTTCTATAGACAAGAGAGCACGGGAAGATATATTTAGAGTGATAAAAGAAAATAGCTATGGACATTATCAGTGCACCCAGAAATGTAGACTCTGAAAATTCATGAAGAAGGAAGTGCATTTGAAGGACGTTATGGAATAACACATGCCATTCACTCAAGCAACACTAAAGATCATAATTGGAAGTAAACTATACATAAAAAATCTGAGAGAAATGATCCATGAGAAAACAGGAAATAAAGATATTTTACATAAAGAATAGATCAAAAGAGGGAGAGCTGGGAGTAACCACCATGCCCAACTCATGCGAACCACTATTTCTAACAGGAGGGAGGAAAATGCTACCAGTAATTTTGCCAATGGAATATTTTTAAAAAATCATATAAGGGTTAGGGCAGTGGTGGTGCACACCTTTAATTCCAGCACTCAGGAGGATGAGGCAGGTGGATATTTGAAAGTTTAAGGCCAGTCGAGTCTACAAAGTGAGTTACAGGACAGGCTTCAAAGCAACACAGAGAAATCCTGTCTCAAAAACACAAACAAACAAATCATATAAGGAATAAAATCTCTGTGACATGAAAATCTCATTAGAAATCGAAATGTCTACAACATTGAATGTTCAATGAGTTTGTGATGAACTCCTAAAGGAGCTAGGAAGAAATGGAAGACAGTTCAAAACAGTAAGGGTGTGTGTGTCACACGTCGATCAACAGTACAGTACAGCAGAAAAATAAACAGCATTAGCAGAAAAACTGTAAAGAGGAGAAAGATGCAGGCATTCTCCAAGCTCATTTACTGCAGGGACATATGAGTGAGCTAGAAAAGTCTGAGTAAGTCCATAGATAAAAAGGAAATACATGTAGGAAAGAAAGGAACCTAATCCCACTGTAGTGACGATACAGACACACACACACACAACTCCCCACAGATGCCATGGGAAACTCTTAGATTTGACAAGTGTTTTAGCTATTATCAAAAAATTAAAAACTAATACACAAAATGACTAGTTTTCCTCCAAGTCTATAATGACAATTTGACCCATTCAAGTTGCTTCAGGAAGGTCTAGGAATAAGCCAAAATAATGACTTTACTTCTATGAGGAAATTTTTAAGGCACTCAGCAATGAAAAAGGAAAAGTACACAAGGCAATGGACTGCCACACACACTGATCGACAAATGACAAGGTGTAAGTGATTATGTTACTAACAGCAACCAGCAGAATCGATGCAAGTCTCATCAGCAAAATACTGACAGTTTCCACAGAAGCCAATATAAAAACAGTCACACGGTCACGGCAAAACCACAAATATCAATGAAAGGAGCGCAGTTCTTAGAGAAGAGAAGAAATGCTTTCTTTAAGAGAAATTAGCTTTTTGGGAAACTCAGCCTCTTGCCCAAGGATTAACAACCATAAGTGAGAGAGTGGAATTAACATAGGTTCTTCTCATTCCTTTGCAACAAAGCATTTTGTAAAGTTATTGAAATGTTTGTTAAAATCCAGAAAAACAATATATTCAGAACTACAGCTCTGCAACTTTGTAAGCATAGGAACCAAAGTAAAGAGAGTCCCTGAAAGGGGGAGGGAAAAATCTCTGTCAATTATTAAAAAAATAAATAAATGAGCATGAAAAAACATTTTCTGCAGGACACATCTTGGCTGGGCTGGCCAAATGGGTACCACAGTCACTCGGCCTCCAGGCGAGCCACATGTATTTGGGGTTTGTCCTCTCAGACAAGCAAACTGAAACTCACAGTTCTCCAGCCCCATTGCCTTTTCCAGGGTCTGGGTTTGGCTTAGCGCAGCACAGAATGGCATCTGATGCAACACATCAATTGCAAGGAATGGTGAGCAGGGCTCTGCTGTTCCATCATGAGCTAGCCTGGCTGCCCCAGAGCTTAGTTATTTTGTTTGTTTTTTTTCTCTAACATTGGAAAAAAACTCATTATAGATTGATCACTGGTCCCTTCGTGGGGAGAAATTAAAATAGGGAGAACCTCTAGTACAGGAACAACTGTAACTAGAATGTTAAAGCAATGCTGATTAAATTTCCTGAGGTATTGGTGACCAATTATATGTATGACATTCTTTTCTCTTGTTTGTCTAATCAACATTTAAGTGCATGCTTAAGTTTCATGATAAATAAACTAAAAGAGCAATATTTAAAATTTTGGGTCATGTCAATTGGGTACACTCTTATCTGTCTATCACTACTGAGGATTTAGCTCTGCTCCTAAAGTTGCCTGCTGGAGACTTCTGGTTAAATTCTATAAGAAATGTACCACCTGAAGCAGCGTGGATTGCAAGGTTATTAAATAATGCTGCTGCTAAAGCAGTAACTCAGAATTAATCCCTTACTTCCTTATCAATCACTTACCCTTCCTTTATCTTCATCTCCTGCTGGAATTATACAACAACAAGGTATTGTAGCAATTTATTCATGTCATAATTGTAAGCAATAATCTATAACTCTTTATTTATATGAAATTATAAACTTAATATTGATGGAAAGGACAAATGTTAAAGGATTTATTAGTAAAGAGCCCAGAGAAATCATTATGACACTAAATAAAATGCAGGTTGATGGTTTGTTCCACACTGGCAATAACTGACAGGTTGCATTAGCATTTTACTTGGGCTCAATAGAAAATCACTATCCAAAAGATCCTTTCAATATTTGTTTTTGAGATGCCCTATGGGTATTGCCTAAAATTACATAAAAAAATTCTATAGAGATTACTTTTAATGCTTTTACAGATGGCTCTTCAAAAGAACAAAGAACACATTTTATATAAAATTCTAAATGCTCCAAGCAATATTGTAACCATCCCACTTGCACAGCTCAACAGTCTGGACTTGTTACATTCCATCAAATCTTATTAGATGTTTCCCACCCACTAAATATTCTAATCGATTCCACTGTTTACTTAAATTTGAATGACAGTTGCTTGGGTGGACTAAGAAAGAATCGGCGTCATCCAGTTATGTTGGGTAGATTTAAAACTTCATTCTGCACGTCCTCACCCCAAATGGGTACCCTGAAGGCAGACTGAGGCTGACGTCAACTGATCTCATACATACAGTAGCACATGGAGCGTAGAGAAGCACCGAGACTAGAAATCTCTCTGCTGCAGAGGGATTGTGGACGCAGAAAGGGTATAATGAAACGTTTGGGATGAGGTCTTCAAGGATGGAGCAGGAAACAGGAAGTCAGAACAGCTGGGACATGAGTAGCCTGGAGACAAAAATGGAAAACACTGGTGTAGTGCACTACTTCAGCTGAGTTTCTTTGCCTTAAAACTAAAAGGAAAAGAATACCTGTGGCAGCCTTCCCTGCTCTCCTTTCCCATCTCCTGTGCATCCCACAGATCTTACCCTTCGAACCTCACCCCCCCCCCGACTTACTGCTTTACTTCAAACCCCCAAACGAGCAGGCACCCTCTGCTAACCCACAGGCCAGTCCTGCCAGAAATTCAGGTAGACTGCCAGTAGACCCTCTCTTTCCCCTGCTTCCCAGATCCAGTGCCCCTGTCTCTTCCCCAGCTCCACAACAGAACAGCTGCTACAGCCTTCCTTCCCCCTCTGCCCACTCCTCCTATGGATCCCACTGACCTTCTCTGCCTAAACTCCCCTTCAGACTTACTGCTTTATTCTAGCCGCAACTCCAGCAGACACTGCGCACTAACCCACCAGCCATTCCTGCCAAGAAAGCAGGTGGGCTGCCTGTAGATCTCCCTCTTTCCTTCCGTTCCCCTAGATCTAACCTGAGACTCTCATCCCCAGAGCTCCAGCAGACCCTTTGTGGTGACCATGCTTCACTGACTCCCTCCGTTCTCAGCAGATGAAGTAAGACTATCCTTGTTGAACACTGTTCTACTCTCTCTTGTGGAAGCCCTCAGGTCCATACCTAACCACATTGCTAAGTGTCATCTCCCAAGACCAGAAACACATTTTACCTGAAACTCCAGTAACCACAACTATCAGGTCTAAAGAAAATTCCCTACCAGGCAACATATAATCATCACACTCTCCAAAACTTGACAGAGCAAATAGAAACCAAGGAACAAAACACCTACCCAACAAAGACAATTCTAGAAGTCAACACATAGGCCGATAATCAACCCAATCCCAGATAAGGAGACGGCAACCTAAAAACACAACAAGAGCCAGGGCAAGATGTCTGTGCCAGAGCCCAGCTATCCTAGCTACTACAGAAGGCCCTGAATATTCCAGCATGGCTGAAGCACAGGGAAAGACCTTAAAATCAACTGTATGAATATGCTAGAGGTCCTTCAAGAGGAAATTAATAAATCTCTTAAAAACATTCAGGAAAGCATAGTGTATGGAAATGAATAAAACTGTTTAAGACCTGAAAATGGAAACGGAATCAATAAACAAAGCACAAACTTAGGGAATTCTGGAAATGGTAAAATTAGTAATTCAAAAAGGAACTTTAGAGGCAAGCTTCGAGAACAGAATACAAGAGACAGAAAAGAGAATCTCAGGAGCTCAAGATGTGATAGAAGAAACGGATACTGCTAGGGACTGCCCACATTCCAGAACCAGATTCCTACCTTGAATGATTCAGTGCCGGCTCCACACCACCACTAAAGGCGACGTTTCCACTGTCGCCGTGGTCATATATATGAATGCTCTATTATCTCCCACCCCCATAAAGTCTGCACCATCACGGCCAGTTCTCTCCCTCATCCCCACTCAGAAGCAGCCGTTCATGCGCCCCGCCCCCAAATAAATCTCTTGTGTGAGGTCGGCTGCATGTTGTTATCTTTTTGGCATTCATTGGTTCTTCGATTGCCTCAAAACTCTAACACTGGTGTTGTGTGATTCCGATAGGATAACCCGGTGCAGACGTTACCCTTCAGGGATCTGAGCTTTCCTGGGACCCTATTTCTTATCTCCAGTCCACCCTTAGCAGACCCACCTTCTGGCCCACCAATTGCTTTGCCCCCCCATCCATCACGGGCAATTGGTACGTGATTCCTCTCAGTTAACGTAAATGCTTCCCTGAATCTCTGGTACTCTTGTAGGTAGAGGTACCTACCCAACTCTAGACCCTTTCCCTTGTGTTAGGCTTTATTTTTAGGCTAGGTTTTAACCCACGTGCCAAGTCTCACTGGGCTGTTAGCCCTGACCCCTATGTCCACTAAATGCCTTGTGTATTCTTCATTTAGTCCTCCCTGACACCCTAGACTTTAGTCTTAGGACCTTCCTCTCTTCCTCACCCATTGGAATGATGTCATCCATATCTTCTGCCCCCTTCCTGGGGTGCCTCTTAGAAAACTTCCAACCTCTCCTTTTGGCTCCCAACCTGTAGGGCGCCAAATTTATTAGCTTTTGCAAGCCAATCTGGTCTCAACATCCCTTAGATAACTAATCCAATGTGGTGGACGAATGGCACCCTAGATCCCAATGTTCTTGCCTAAAGTAATTAGACTAGCCATAGAGGCAATGTATTCAACCTTGGCATCGATTACAGTATCTTTTCTTTAAAAAACTTAGAAGGGAGGAGCTCTTGGGAGTACCAGGTCAGTAGGGAAACCAGGAATATTAACCACACGAGGTTGTCTCTTTAAGGAAGGAAATGGACATTTGTTTTCGACTCAGAAGGCTGGCCATATGTTGTTAATGACCTGGTGACCTCTGTTATCCATAGAGCCAGATCTCACCCACTGACTCCAGAATGTTCATTCCAGACTTTCCTTCCCTAGATCTTTCTCTTTAGCTTTGTTTCTTAGCCAATAGAAGCCATCCTTACAGGCGATGTCTGTCACATGTACTTTATAAACTGTGCTATTGACCTCTAGACTGTCTATATGATCTGGATGATCAACAACACGCCAGACTCCTCTCTAGTCCCTTAAACTAATATATGTAGCCTATCCTTGAAAAAAATGACATGTACTTTGAGTTGAGTTTTGATGTAATTATGCCTCGTTCTGCAACACAGAATGTATTACATTTTGTAATTGTAGAAATATTTTTTCTAAACTGTATTATATTTAAATAGGCTTAGAATAAAACACCTGATGTTAGACTCCGTAGAGGTTTGAGCCAACACCAACTAACTTGGGCTGAACCGAGTTTTCCTTCTTGTCTCTTGTGGTTTATTACCTACCGCACTCAAACTCTGAGCCTTTTCTCCAGTGTTCAGGCAGCTCTTAATTCACTCAAGTTGACAACTGACATATACTGGTACAACTCTGAGATCCTTCAGTCTCTGGCTGCTATCAATCTCCCCTGTGGAAATTAATTTTTTGTGTCTTTTTAATTGTTTGTTTTAATACAGGTTTTTTTTTTCATTTTCTATAGCTATCCCCATTCCTACTCCCTCCCCTCCTCCTGCCTTCCCAACCTCCTCTCCCCATCCACTGCTCAGAGTGGGTAAGGCTTTGGAAAAATCAATTTTATAGTTCCATGTGAAACTGGAACTGACTGACTAGTCTAGACGCCTAGCTTATGTAACTATGTTATATTTTATGTTACTCCTGTGTCACAAAGTAGGCCTTAATTCTGCATGTCTGGATAATGCTTTTAGTTTACATAATTATGGTGCTTTATAATTAATGAACAATTCCTTGATTTCTTATTAAAGAACTTTAGAGCAAGTATGGAACAGCCAATGACACTTACCACTAACTAATTCCCAACTGATCATACCTGGTCATGGAGCAGATACACTGTATGTTTCTTTCCTATAATTTCAAAGGAACCGCTCTACTGTTTTCCATAATATGGTCAAATTTTGCGAGTGAACGACTTGCAAACAATAGTCAAGGGAGTGTTCAAAGATCAATATAAATAAAAGAACAACTAAATCTCTAGAAATAAAAAGCAGATATTAATGAATTCCTTGAGGAATTTGAAGGATATTCAATGAGCTAAGCAAGAAGAACACCAAGTAAATGAAGTCAGAAAATTCACAGAATAAAAGGAAAGTTAAGCAATACAAAGATGACAGACTGTAGCTCTGAATGCTACAACATGAGAAAATAGGTGAGAAATCTTCAACTTTGGGGAAAGAGGCACCGCTCACTATCTCCACTAATCCTACCTAGGAGAAACCAGAGGACACATGGAGAATTCAGTATCTTTAAACTAACAAAGAGGGAAGGATCTGATGAGCAGCAATAGAAATGGGATGTGTCCTCTCAACAGAAGCTGGTTCTAGGGGATAGTGGAAGGCACAGCAGCAACATGGAATTCAACAGCAGTGGACAGAGGAACGTAAAAAGCAGCAAGATTAAAGCCGCAGTGAGGAGCAGCGCATGCAGCCAACGCTCCTCAGGGAGGAATATGGATGATCCTCAGGACCTTAGAAGCTCAAGGGCAAACCGCAGCACTGAAGTTAGTGTGGCAGTGAGAATGTCACTTTGTGTTTGTTTTCAGTGGTTTTCACTTATGAACAGCATGGAAGAGTTTGTTGTGTATGACTTAGGACATATGAACATGCAGCTCTTAATTCTGAGTCCTGTTTGGTGTCATGAACTATTTAGAGTAGGAACATATCCTCTCCACATCATACATGACTCATCAGTGAGGTGATTTTGAGATCTGGAGCCTGTCATTACACCACTGAATAAAAAACAACTGTGCTGCTTGAAATAATTCACCATCCTTCCATAGCAGACTTCTCTACAGATCAGAAGCTGGGGCACAGCATTTTACTGAATTGTAAATTCTTCCATGATTAGAGAGGATCCTCTCAAAAGTTACTGCTGTGTTCCTAACTATAACATCAATGTGATATACCTTCTTTTGCTACATTACAATGGGCGCAGGATGCTCTCCAGCTCGGGCTCCATGGGCACAAACAACTACTCCCCTCTAAGGATCATCCCAACTCTTCTAATGCTGACATGAGGTGTCGGCTATGGCATCACATATGCAGGATCCATACTCTCACACCAGCAGTGATACCTCCAAGTTCTTTGTTCTGTTGTTATCTGAATCTGTATGCAATGCCTCCAGATTGTCTACTGTTGCTTTCTTTTTGTTATTTCAGCACTAATTTTTTATTAAGCATTGTTGAATACCATCTTTTATCATTTTACATTGCTAACCCCACACACTAATAATGGGGCACTTCAACACCCTATTCTTACCACTGGACAGGTGAACCAGGCAGAAACTTAACACAGAGAGAAAAAGAGAGCTAACAGATGTCATGACTCAAATGGAATTAACAGACATCTATAGAACATTCCATTCAAACAA